CAATCGCTTGCTTTATTTTATTCGAATCCATGAAATTCACGATTTTTTTACATTTGTTGGCAACTTCCGCGCTAAAAAGGATTGAAAATGTGGGTGTGGTTATTTTGCAAAGTCCTGTTGATAATACGGACAAATATGGTTCTGTGACCCAGTTCGTGCTCCGATCAGGTGACTCTCAGCCAATCAATGATGTTGTAACAAAGCATATTTGACGCTAATTGAAGGGTCGTCGTACAATCCAATCACCGGCGTCGATTCACATAGTTGTTTGTGCTGTGACAGGCTTCAAAATTATTAGCTGAAAAACATATATTTTGACAAACTGATGGAATTTGACCTTAGTTCAAAAAGAAAATACTAGGCTAAGATACATTAGAGCTCACGCGAATCAGTTTTCTCTGCAAGTTGTGAAATAAAGTAAACCAGAGTAGCGTCGATGATTTTCAGCCCTGAAGGACTTTGAATTGTTCATCGACTGGCCACCAAATAGTTATGGCTATAACTAAATTTGACACGTTTTTCATTTAAGCCCAATAAATTATTCATACATGTCAAGCTCTGTTCGATTTTTTCAGGGCATGTGGCCGTTTTTAGCCGAAAATATTTTTTGTGGGAACACTTTTGCGGTACGTATACGGTATAGACCGAGCTCATTCAATGATCGTGACTTAATTTTAAAAATTGAATGTCAAATTTTACCAGACGTGGACCGATTTTTGGAATTAATCACTAACATTTCCTCGTTTCTCTGCTCTGTCAAAAGGAGTTACCTAGGCTTTTTTTCACGTAACTGTCTCATTAAAATAAAAATAAAAATATTACATCTAGAACAAGCACCCAAAACACGTAACAAGAAGTCCCAGGTTAGTTGCTTTCACGATACAAGTGTAATACAGCTATTAGATTTGAAGTGTCGTTCAGAATGTAATAATAGTTAATACTAGTTGTATGTTCACACTTTACTATCAAAACCACCATTTCGACCACCCATGGTGCCAGTTTTCAGTGTTTGGGCGAGCGGTCAATGTTTTCAATGAGCGAGCGAGCGAAAAAAAAAACGCGATTAAAATGCGGTCGGTTTCCGGTCGGACAAGACCGCGTGGTCGGAAATTAAGCGATAAGCGGTCGATGTAAAAGCGGAAGGTTGGGCGAAATGAGTACTGTATGACCATGTTTCTCCGACGAAGTCTCTACTGACAATAATGCTGACAATGGACGTTAGATAAACACGCATTGTTTGCAACTGGAAGCTTATCACCCGTTATATCAGAATCGTCAACAACAGAGTATACAGATAAGATGTTATCATTTAATTCCTTCCAAAGATAAACACTATGCAAATATCCACGAAACGGCAGTTGTAGTCTTTTCTGCTAGTGTTTTAAAACACTAATTTGAGCAACGTTATTTCGCAATTTCGATCTTTTGTAAACCTGGGGTGATGTATCAAGGTCTAAAGTAACCGTTTTATCAATTTTTGAAAAATCAAGAAAAAAGTGAAAATTTCCCTTCTCGCTACCTTAAGATATCAAAACTGATTCTACCATCCAAAGTCATGTCTTACCTGTGGATATCCAATAGATAATAACCTCTGTATGACCAGATTAAACCCCAATGCTTCATATTGTGGTGATTTATACACTAATAAGAGATAAAGAGAATAAGGTATCATAGAAAATTAGTTTACCAAGCCAATAAACAATAACAAGTTTTTGCAAATGAGAATAAATTTCTCAAATAACCACTTCATCATTGTAGTTTAAATTGACAGTACTAATTGTAAGGGAACAAAAGGGAGTTGTTGTTAATTAAAATGTACACACAAAGGCCATGATGATACTTTCACAAACTTGCTTGATTTTCAAAAATGTTCGATTGTTTGTTTTTCTCTCATAGCAGGATTGGTTAGCACTGCATCATATTTTAACCCCTTTTCCACCAATTTAATGGGATTGCACACGCTTCACTGGAGTAGCATGTACAGGAGGAATAGGAGAGGAAATTGTTTCATGGATCATGATTTTATATAGAAAAAATGTACATAATTTGAATCACATTTAATGAATGCAGCTTCAATTTTGTAATACCCCCGGTATATTTCGCGCTAATATTAGTTTATTGAATTGTCTTAACTTTTCCAATGATATTTCGCAAATATCAAAAGAATGTTACAAACAATTCATTAAAATAAAATTGTTACTGTACTAAGATTTTGAAAAACTTGAATATACATTTGTATTTTTTCAATGGAGTGCTTGCACATGAGAGGGGTAGTTTAGGGCTTGGTGGTGAAAGGGTTAAACATAATAGAGATTGATTACATATGTTTTACTGTTTCAACTCTGACAGGCATAGACTGCTCAGATCTACCACAATGTAGTTCAAGCAGTTGAGGGTCCTGCAAAATATACACGGACGTGGCGAACCACAAACGTAATATCTGAAATGAGAACAAATAACAGGTAAGTCTGAAATGATCAGACCATTTCAGAGTGCATCAATGACACGCAATTAATCAAGAAATTCATTAATATATAATAATAAAGACAGTAGGATATCAAGTAACAAGTGTCCATACAGTTAAACGATGCAGCTTATCATTAGAGTACCTTATCCAAACTATCACATGCATTATGATTTTTCAATATAAAATAACTGATGTATAAATAAAATTTTGAATTTGCCATTATTACCATTACCCCTACTGTCCAAGTTTTATAACTATATCATTTGCATTGACATATGTAACACTTACCTGCCAATGTGTAATCCATATCAAAACCAAAGTACTTAATCTTCTCAAGTCCAAGACTCCGGTTGACAAACACCCTATGTGCTGGGTCTCTTCGAAACCTCTTGGCAGTTGTTCCATCACTGTACGTCATGGTTGGTCTGTTATTGTCCATTACTGAAGAATCATAAACCATCCAGTCATCAAAGGAAACATGCTTAGTAACCAACCTATGAGCCATTTTATGCAATCAAATTGTGCAAACACAAGCAGGAAACTCTAAGCATCAACACACAAAGCCTTGCAATCCTACAAATTATAAAATGATTTATAAACTACTTTTAAACACTCTACTATAAGGATGTACGATACAGTCTCACTTTTTCATTTTATCTCAGCAATATTCTATTTTTTCAATTTAGTTTTTCCACATCTGTATAAAGTTTAAAGAATAGTGGTCATCGCACTGCGACCTGTTTGATATAGCAACGTACACAGAGCGTTTAAAATATACTGATTTGTTTACATGAAATTCAAACATACGCTGTGTGACAACCACCACACGCCATGAATCTCTGCGCAAAACAACAGAAAATCTCAACATTTTCAGAAAAAAGTATCACCTATAATAAGAACATTCTCAATGTCTTTGTGAAACTATATTGAACATCAAAGCATTTTTATTAACACATTGCCCGCTGATACATCTTTCCCCATTCCTTTCGACTGGAGACTTTCAGTGGGCAGTATGTTAAAGCACTATTCAGCCACTATGATGCTACACAACTTTAAGAAGTGGTTTCCAAGCAGCCTACAATCTGACAGTATATAGTTTATTTCTTAGTATCTTACAATTTGAAGCTTAGGAATCCAACAGCCCTGGTGTGTCTATTGTCATGGGTAAGTCATATTTTTATGATCCAGCATGCATTAAATGCAATTTTTGCCTTGTGCACACTTCTATTACAGAAAATATGATATGTGCAATAAAATTTTAGAGAATGGCTTAACCTTTTCACCACCAATTCCACAAAATAGTTCAGAAGATTGGGACAAAAATAGCCAAATTTTGTCTGTTGGCTCCAAACTTAGGGTTCATTCCAAGAAATATTGAAGAATATAAGAAACAAAAAATGCAGAAAAATTTGGGCGAGAAAGTCCGGTGGTGAAAAGGTTAAAACCAACACTTGTGGGCTGCTTAGAATCAACTGTTGAAACACAGCAAAGGCAAAGCGTGCACAAAAAATCAACTTAAATAGATAATAAAGATTATTATCACAGATAAAGATTAATACACAATCCATTATTAATCTCAACATCATTCTTTAGCAATGTAGAAATATGCCAACAGCCAGTCAAAAAAAAGTACTGGTACTTAAGTAAAAACTGGTTACAGTAATATAATTTTGGGATAAACACAATGCCCAGTTACTTTTTCCTAATTCTCATTGCTACATTATCACTGGTGAAATTGTATGCATGGTTCATAACATATGAAAAAGAATTTTATTGAAGAGACCAGCGTAAAATTCAATGTCAAAATACCTGGTAATCCTAATGCAAGAATTTTTATGATGATGATTTATGTTTATTATCTCTTTTTATAAAGCAAAGCATTCAAGTGGTGGACTTTTTGAAATGGGGTAGTGAGAGATACTAGCAATTTTATTGACGAGATATATTAATGTGTTTTTTAATTTCAAAAATTTTAAAAACAGATGATGTTATCATGCAAGTCCAAAGTAACAGAATTTTTACTCTTAAATCTTATTTAATTTTATTGTGTCTATATGATTTTAAATCACAGATACAAATTTGTTTGTAGTCTAGGAGCATGGTTAAATTTACAATTATAAATGTATTAGTAAAAGTAGACATTCATCCAAGCAATTCAAATGTGTTTTTGAGAAATGCCAAAAATGACTCTCTATCAATTTTTATCCAAATTAGCTTGATATTTTAAGTGACTGAATAGAAATATTATTATTTTACATTCCATGTTATAAATAGCACAGAATTGAACTAAACTGAATTTGTAATGTGTATAACAGCTGGATACAATAATTCATAATGTGTCTGTATTTTTGTTTTCAGGTACCCACATAGTTTTGGGTAAGAAACTCCTTAATGTACTTAGTGGGTTTCGTCAAAGTAACCAGCTGATATAACTGATAGTACAAGTTCAATGATTCTCACAAACTCTGACAAACAACAGTGACCTAAATACAACCCAAACCACAATTTGCATACAATTGTACATATTATTTGTTATGCTCGGCTGCAGCTGTTTTTTAAAAAGAAAATGTCAACAGACGAAATATTTAGGAAGGGAGAATAAAAGTCACAGAACTACTTGTAATGTTGAACCATGGAGCTAAAAAAAGATCTTTTTTTTAGCTCCATGGTTGAACAAACTGGTCCAATGCCTTGTAAATATGTTGATATTGTTGTAGTGTCACTGTAATGGTGACATGGCGTAAATTTGGGGTCCGGCCTGGTGATGTTTTTAAGGCGTCAACATACGGTTTAAAGTGCGCACGTACACAACTACAACTTTTTTACCCCAAAGAAAATCATGATCAAAACATTATATAGGAATATTTGAATTATTTTGCGAGACGAATACGAAAAATACTGGGACATGGTTCAACCGGCCTTATTGAATTACAGTCCCAGAATTATGTATTTCATAAGTATTGTGAAACTACAAAAAACAGACGACACCACATATTATTGGGCGATCATCATAAAATATTATTCTGTATGATTACATGAATTCGATACCAGAATATATTAACCTACCTCAAAATTATGTAAGTTTAGTATTACTACAGTATCTTTGTGCGCGGTCCGTTTCTCGGGTCTTTGTCGTATTGTGTCGTCAGCTGTTGTTCAGGTCCGGCAGGTTCCCAAAATCGTTGTTCGCACTGTTTACAAATTCAGACCTGACGGTTAACTCAAATAAACCTAAGCCAGAAATATATACAGTAAAATAAACCCGCAGCTCAGAGAATCGCAAATAACAAATAAATGGGCAAAAAAGTATAAATACAGTGTGATATTCTCGGGAATACAGATAATTAAAAGTATCCGGGATGTCTTACAAAAGCGTCTGACTTTCACGGCTTTTGTTTTGGCGGAGTGTTCTATTCATATTACGTTATTTAACGCGTCGGAAAAAGACATGTCACTGCGCATGCGTAATTTATTTGGAACTGCGAACTTGAGCTACGCGCTCAGCTGATCGGTATGTGATTAGATGTTTTTTTCCAAAATTCATGAATGGTTTACTAAATTTCCAAATACGTGAACTTTTCTTGTAGGATGACTTCTAATTTATCATATTTTGATGATAAATTACCGATACAAGATATTGTTAGTTATGTTAATCACGTACAATGTCAAGTTCGGCAGAGGAAATTAAAACAAAAACAAAATTGTAAAACAATCATAGCATAATCACACATATATGTTGTTTATTTGCCTCTAGTTGATAGTATTACGTCATTACGACGGGAAAACCGGCCAGGGAAGTGACGCAACACTATATCAGTGCAGCTTCCTGATCAGTGCTATACACACAGCCTGATGATTTATTAGTTGTGTTTTGTTTTCACTTATTTCACTGATAGCTAGATGTACTACATTAAAACTAGTGAATATGCCATATCTTAACAATACAATACGCTGCCTCCTTCACAAACCAATGAATTTAAAAATTAAATGAATATTCTTGCAATATCAAATCCGCTAAAAATTATAATAATAACTTTATTACACAACCGTTACCATCAGGGGGTTTAGTATGGTAAAAATAACAAATAACAAGACTAAAATAATAAAACTAACTAAATAAAAGTAAAACTTTAATAGTATTATAATAAAGACGATGCATATTTCTCTCTCTTCAGTGTTCATATTAACAGTGTGCAATACTTGTTAGCCAATGAACGTTATCGTCATCCACTGTCTGTGGAGTTGAAATGAAGCAAGTCCAGATCATATTGTAGAGAGGGAACTAATCCGTGTAACATATTATGGTTTCTAGGCTAAGACTTTGGTGCATGGTGCACTCAGCTCTGCTGACACTGTTACTAGTAATATATAATGGCTAATGTGCCTGTGAGTTTGATATAAATCTTTTAATGCAATCATCACATTCACAGTTTTAGTGGAGTATTACCTAATTTTTTTAATCCACAGGCATGAGGTTAAGCCTGAGTTCTTGATTAACATTCTGTTGGTCACTCACCAGGGGAGGTGCCATATATGGTTATATATTTCACTCCCCAAGTTAGTGTGACATTTTAGATTTAGCAATATTAATTATAACTGGTAGTATATGATGTCCCATGTTTTAAGTGTACTGTTAATATTTATTTCAGATGATTTTGCAAATTTGTAAATGAAAAAAATTCCGGGCCAAATATATCGATTGGTTATCACTTGATCCTGGTGGGTCAGTTACAGCCGTGGCATTATGCATGACTCATACGATTCTGTATATGAGCACAACCACATGGGTAGATAGATGAAACTGTTTTGATTTCATTGCTACAAAGTAAACTTAATTGCGTGAAAAATTCACGTATCAGAATAAAGAGGGAGACACACACACACAAGTTAACGGGTCGTAGGTTAGCGGTGAAGTGCCACTTTTTATTGCGTAACACGTGATCAGCTCATGACAACATACATGGTGTTATGTGATGAGCTAATAAGGTCATGGTCATGACACGTGATTATGTAACACTAACTCAATGAATAAAAGTACAAGAAACGCATGGTAAAGATACAACAGGTGGGCTCTCCAGTGAGGTTGCTTATGTCACTATGTCTAATAGATTAATAGGTGACATTGATTTGTTGACAAATATTGCACACGATTGAATCTGATTATGCCGATTTTCTAAAAAAAATGACACTTTTTACATTTTCCCTATTTGCTATATCAACAGCAACCATACCATTCTTCATGATAAATTTACAAAGTTAATGAACAATATATTAGCAGCAACTCTAACATTAGTGGAGAGTTGATTGGAACGATTATACAACCTCTTATAAATTTGGTTGTTTTGATTGCAGATTGATGATGCACACAGATTGATGATGCACACAGATTGATGATGCACACAGATTGATGATGCACACACATGATGCTATTGAATATTCATGAGATGCATATGATATAGGGCGGAATTTATGTAAATTAGTAACAACCTCATTTATTAGCTTGCCCATAATGTTAATGAAGGGAAATTTACATGTCGTCGTTGTCAGCTGGCGTACAAGTGATAATCAAATAAATGTGATTAAAGCGCGCATGTACAAGATATATGAGTCTCATATAAAGAAAGATGGTGACTTTGACTGTTGCGCAGATCAACGAGTACGAACTGACACATTTCCAAGCTTTAATTGGGTAATTTTCATGTGATTGGAAGGTATCGAAGGAGTCACCGGCGGTAATCAGTGCTAGTCGTGCCCAGGTCAAACCTCATACTTGTGATTTCCATTTGAAGAGAGCATTGGATTAATCTACCGTTATTTACTACATGAAGCAGCCATCTTGAATACAATTTGAAAATAAAAAGTTGACAAACAAGTTTTTCAGATTCCTGCAAATCAGGGAAAAAATAACATGAGACCAGACAGCACTAGTATACTAGATCTGTATAGATAATGCAGTAACTGGATAATGTTGTTTTCATGTAGTATACCCTAAGCCATTTTCACTCGCTAAAAGTTTTTTTTTTTTCTCGCCATAAATTCTGGCATATATTTTTCTCCACCAAGAGATAAATTGCTGCACTGTTTTTCTACTTTTATCCAATTCATGTTATATTATTCTCTAAGAAACCTTGAGATTGTATACTAAAAATATACAAAATGTTATCATACAAATATTTATACATACCAAAGTGTTTATTCAATTTATGTCATCCCAGTTAGATAATCACCAGTGTGATGAATACAGTCTAGTATCCATCCTGATTTCTTATTTCTTACTGTAAAATGACTAATTTTCAATGGGTTTAAATTTCGCTGATTTACCATTTCAGGCATATTCAGTGGGTTTTAAATTCACAGTTTTATCATTTAGATAATGTGTTCTATGCTAAATTTTACATATTCACTGGGTTTTAATTTAGCACATCTTGCAGTCAGCAAAATAAGCCAAATAAAAGGCAGTGAATAATTAAGCCCTTTTACAGTATTTGATGTCCATTCTCAATGGGCAAGGTTGAAATAGTTACACTATGTTTCACTCTACTGTCATCAAAGCTGTTCATATTGGAAAATAACTGAAGAAAGTAGATTTAGATTTATGTAAATGGATGAAAATTCTGGTTTTGCAGCTTTCGCATTCTTTCTACATTCCAGGACACACATGCCAGCTGGCTCTGAAACAAAATAATAACACTGATATCTGCAGACAATTCACCACTCACTCAATAGAGGTTTACGAATATAAATATAAGTGTTATAAATATCTTTTCCTTTGATAGTATAGGGGGAAAATGTTCAATGTTATGGTGACAGTAATTGATGAGATGGGTGGGGCAATCAGATAGCGGGAAGCTGTAGGAAGTCCGTCTCGTCAGCAACTCAGCACCTCACAGACGTTCAAGTTCAATTACCTCAAATATTTAAAAGTTCATTTAGTTTCGCCCTTATGTGATAACAGTGTAGTCCGACACTGTCCCTGTACCATGTACTGCATTGCTTTCGGACACAGGTTTCCAGAGAATTTCTCACATTATAAAGTATAGGGTTTCAACCTCTGGTTTTTCCTAGGTGGCGGACATAAAATAACAGGGAGATCACAACTAGTAAAAACCCACCCTGGTATAACGTGCAATGTAACATTTGTTTTCTGTCCACGTCTGTAAATAAAGCTTCCGCATCTCTGGCTCATCTACCATTATTGAATGAATGAAGTGTAATGGAATTTATTCAATGGAATGAGAGTAAAATGAAGACATACAAATACAGCTTCATCAATATAGCGCCCTCTAAGTTCACTTACAAACAGAGATATTAAGAATACAAATGCAAATTTTGAATACAAATGGCGATTACAAGAATTCAAAAGGCGATAATAGTTATTTTCTACTTCTTCTTGAGAAGTACCAGCCCGATTGCTTTGATATACAAATGAATTTCAAGAATACAAATAAAGATTTTACGAATACAATCATGTCTTATGTATAAAAGAAAATTCTTGCACATAAATATTTTAAAGAATATCAGCCTTCCATATTGGAGAGATGTAATTATTAAAGTAATAACCTTTTTCATAATAAATTACGTGATATGATTGTGGATTGGGAGTGTACACTAGACTGGTGCAGTCGGGCGATTAATTTGTTTTTGTAGTTTAAATAAAAATAATCGAAATGGAGGTGTTAGCGCGAAATCGCCCGACTGGTTTATTCTGCAGGAAATTCATTGCTATTAAATATTCATGAATGCCCACAGGTGGGCGCGGAAACACGTGCCAAATGAGGTGAACATGGTAAAAGTCACACTGCTGAAATAACATGGCGGCACGTTGAAATTTGAGTTTGTCGTAGTCGTTGTTTCTAATTCATCACAATTTGTAAAAAAGTAACTTGTACTAGTCGTAAAATTAAAAAAAATCGGCTGCTACAACCAGCCAACGTCTTCTCGGTCAGAGATCAGTTGAAGAGACGTTGTGATTGGCTTAGATGATTGTCAATTAGAACATCATTAACATAATTACCCATTGATAAATCGACGGGTTCCTGCAGTGTCGATAGAGGGCCATGCAGAATAAACCAGTCGGGGTGATTTCACAGTTACAGGGGATTTCGCGCTAACACCTC